GATCTCTTGTGAATAGACTCCAGACTCACTGCAACGTGGAGGGTGTGTTGCAGGAAAATAAACAAATCCGTACAAACCACGGGCAGAATTAGCTGAACARCAATAATGCTTCTCCTTTACCTTTGCTTCCATGAAATGTCCCTTAAATCACTTACCTGGTTCCCCTTCTTTCTGGTGACTGAGTGATCAAGCTTTGCTTCTGAAGCAGATATTCCTGTCTGAAGCTGAATTCTTGTTTCTGGTCTTTAGGTGATGAAACCTGAAATAGAGGCGAGAAACTTGTAAATTCTGTTGTGGCTGAGGTTTCTGCTGGTTCCTGCTAGGGAGGTGTGTTATGACAAGTGCTCATTTCTCTGCATCTCTTGAACTCCATTGCTTATTTAAACTGTCATGTGGCCTCTCAGGCTGTGCCTCTTTCTAGAGCTCTTCAAGACTTCTTGAAGCAATGACATTCCCAGAGCCTCCCCTTTTGTAGCAACCTGAAGTCATTAACTTTCTGCAGCAGTCCAAGCCCTTTACATTAATGTTTTTATAGCCTGCTTCTCTGTATGCATAATAAATTCCTGCTGCCTTTTTAATACTCAAAGGCTGCCATAATTTTCTTGTTGCTTGTCTGGGATATTTTCCCTACCTACAGCTACCTGTAGTGTCACCACATGAATAAATAAAAAAAAAGAGTCAGTTTTGACTCTACATTTTACTGCTTAGCCAGCAGTAGCTGAGAGGTTTTTGCAGCACTGCCATCCCTCATCCCCTTCACCCATGGTGGGTGGGCTTTGCCTTCTCTGTTTGCCAGAGGTGCTTTTGCTTTCCCGTGTCACATTAAAGCCATGCAAATAGTTTCTATAGCAACAGGTATCTTCGCCTGGCTCTGACGCAAAATCCCGAAAGGTCTTTCTCATTCTGTCTTCATCCAGGTCTGGTTTTTCATTTTATCAACTCTTTCTGAAGATAAAGGGTAAAAATTAATTCTGCTCTGTTTCAGGAGTTAACTTGMAGCACAGGTGACTGTTCGGTTTTGAGAGCCCGCTGAAGTTTCTGCAATGGGAACTGAACTTTGAGCTGAAGGAAAAATCAGCTGGGGTGATTTAGAGAGTACTCTGTACAAATCTAGCCATGATGTTATTAATGAAAAATTGATTTCATTAATGAAATCAAGCTAGTGAAGCAGGCAGCATGGCCTAGTAGACACAATCAAAGAATGGAGAAAGGGGCAAAAATTTGTCCCCAGCTTTGCTTCTGGCTGGGTTAATCCGAAGCTGTTTCATCTTGTGTCTTTTCAGCTCTGTTAAAATCTCCAGGACATGTGCTTCAGGATAGAGGCTGAGCTTGTCAGGGCTCTGTTTGATGCTATTGCAAATGGAAAAATGAAAAAAAAAAACAACCAACCCACCCAAAAAAACACAAACAAAAACACAAACAAAAAAACCCAACCAAACAAACAGACCCCCAAAATGAAAAAAAAACCAAAGAAACCAAACAAAAGACCCCCCAAAACAAAACTCCACAAACACCAATAAAAAAACCCAAACCAAAAGAAAAAAACGCAAACAAAACAAACAACAGAAATAAGAAACCTGAAAAATGCAATTAAACAAAAAAAATTAAAAAAAACCCTCTAAAAATACAAAAAAAAAGCTGCCCCTAACAAACTTAGATCAAACGGGGTTGCCTCCCTGCACAAGAAGTTTGAGTCTCTGCCAGAGAGGTGTCTCCTGTGTCATTGCTGTGCTGGGACACAGGTGGAAGCAGCTCTGGAAAGATGCTCTGCCCACTCCTCCTTTGCCAGCATGGGGCTTGGGACCCCCAGGGGGGAGGCACAAGAATGGGCAGGATTCAAACTGTGCTTTTTGTCAGCAAAAGAGGCTTGGGAAGTGTGAGCAGGAGGGAGCAGAGCAGGGGTGCCCTGGGCTGTCAATACCATGGCCGTTTACTCAAGCAGTGKCCTTGTTTGTTTTACCTTCGTGTCCTTGTGTCACCTGGCACTTCTGGAGGWGTTTGTGGAGGCCCTAACTGGTTTCTTCTTTTGTGAACCCTGGCCCCTTTTCTCAAGGAGTAGCTGGTGCTGACAAAACCAAAAAAAAGCTGCAGGTGCTGTCTGTGACCTGGCTACAACTTGCTGCTAAAATTAAATAGATATAAGGCACAAAAACGGCATATAGATATTTTTATGTCTATACAAATTGCATCTCTACGTATCTATATAAATATTAATCTTACTTTTTTCTCAAGCTAGACAAATTGTTCATTCCTGCTCTGATTGTGCACACTTAACACCTTTACCTAYTATAGTAGGTAAGTGTATACATATATATATTATATATAAATACTATAGTAGTGTTTATATAGATATATATATATCTATATAAAACTATATATGTATTATTTACAGACTACTATAAATACGAAGTGTGAAGCACCTCACAGCCCAGTGAGTGCATTCTTCATGTGTTTTCTTACCTCTAGAACTTCCTTGGCTCTGTGTGGGGGCATTGCCCACCCTGCTGTGGCACTGATGTGCAAGAAGGGTAGATGACTTTGTGTTCCTGCTCCTGTTCAGGATGCCTGTTTTTTTCCTGAAGTTGAGTGTGTGGTACTTCTGAARTCACTTAAATTTCTCTTTGGCTGAGCAACATGATACAACACAGCTGTGAAAGTTTGTAAGGATCTATTAATCTGTATTTTATATTAATTAGCGTGTCTGCGCATCCATATGTACCTGTGTATGAGGTTCCACGGCTGAAATAGCTGCTGCTGTGCTCTGGCCCTACTCTGTRTCCCACATTGCCACGACACTTTAATGAGAATTTGGCCATTTCTGGCTGTTCTGAACAATCTGCTCGGCGAGGGTGCTGACGTAAATCCATATCTTCCATCGGGCTCTGATGTGCTCCGAGCTGGGGCTCCGATGACAGCAGCAGTCACTCTGGAGATGCTTCGAGGATCTGGTTGGGTTTTGTGTTAATAACCCCAGCCACAGTGACGGGTGTTGTACAAACACTGTTTGCCTTTGTGCCGCGGGAATGGCGTGGTTGTGGTGCTGCAGGAGGGAGCTCAGAGCCCSGGCAGCTGCTCTGCCTCCCCTTCTCTCTCCCCTGAGCCTGCTCAGATCCTCAGTTTCGGATTCTCCCTTTTCCTGGCTGAATTCATGATTACACAACTGCACAGTGCTGCCCATGTAACCAAAACCCTCTCCAGCAGCGCTTGGTGTGAGTTCCGCCCTGAAATGGGAATAACACAATCGTGTGCCTTCACCGAGGGGTTCCTTTGATGCCTGAAAAAAGGCTCACCTGGAACAGAGGCCAGACAAAGTTTAGAGAATAAAAGCAGACAAATTTAGTAATAATCCAGGCYTACTGGTGCATTGAGGGCAGACAAAGCCTTCTCCTGAGGGTACACCCAAAATGGACCCCGAGCCATGAGATCTTCACTTTTTATAAATTCTGTCTTATTAATATTGGGTCTCAATTCCCAATGACACCTTTTAGGTGATGATATCAACCACCCCAACCTTGCTCCCCCCAATTCTCTGTTGTTTCCATATTTTGGGACTCTGAGGCAGCGAAGTGTCCTTGGATTTCAGGCCCAGAGAGGAATTGTTTATCTAAAGATACGAGAACAGGAGCTTTAGCGCTGTATACTAGAGACGAAAAAGAATACAAATACATGAAAATACGGATGCTAAAAATCCCTAAGGCATCACTCTGGCCCTTTTGGCACCCCTTTTCCCCCTTTCTGACCCCATCCAAAGTCCTATGTGGTTCTTCCCGGGAAGGCCGTACATGGCAGGCGGCGCCCGGGCCGCAGTTTCCAGGGTTACCTCAGCGCTGCTGATAGCGGGCAGGAAATTAAAACACTCCCAGCTCATGGYGATCCCTTATCGATGCAGATGGGGCCATCAGCCAGACGTGCGTGCCAGGGGAGGGCACAGGGCATGCAGAGCAGAAGCCACGCTGGATTTGTGTCACCATCACTCTTTGGGGCACGGAGTCCCCTCATGGCCGTGGTGTGAGGGGCTCTGCTCTCCTGGAAGTGACTCCGAGCTGAACTCGCTTTCAACCCATCTGTACAGCTGTGTCTCCTCTGCAGGTTTCTCCCTCATACAGAATTTTCTCTCTTTCTCCTCAAAAGACCTGGTTTCTTGACTTGGGATCGCTCTGCTTTTAAGCTCCCTGAGCCAGGCCCCCCTGCAATCTCTGTGGAGGCTGACGGGGTTTAACCTGTGCCAGGATTGTCTGGGGACAGTAGAAAATGGAAAACCATCTGAGGATCTGAGTTCTGGGATTAGCAAAGTGTCATATTATATGCTCCCTTTCTTACTGAGCTGTTTCTTCTCCCTTCTGCCTCTGTGAGGGTCTCTGCACCTCAGTTTTGTGCTAACTCTGAGGTGCAGAATTAGGCTGGGGTGTGGATGTGCCTGCCAGTTTCAGCTCAGGACAGCAAATCTCTCCCCAGATGTGTCTCTGTCTTCTGTGTGTGCTCAAACAGCTGCCTGGCACGCTGCAGGATGAAATAAGGGTATTTTATCTGCATGCAAAGCCTCCTTGGAGACAGTGATGGTTGTGTTGGAGTGTTTGGAGGAACYATTGTGATGTTTTAGCTTTTCCCCRCTCTCRGGCTYGGCTCTGCTTGTGGCAGCACCARTGGRAGCCMRTTTTGAGATGTTCTCYYTCTGTCAACTCTAGGCTTAACTGCTCCTAAGATGTCAGTAATTCTGAAAAACCAGGCCTGTTCTAATCTGTTTTAAAGCTATTATTTAGATAAAACACCCCAGGTTTCTGGTGCAGCACACAGGAAGTYTGACACCRTGGSAAASGTGGGACCATACACAAACCAAAACRTGTTTGGGGTRTTAMTCSTTACTTCCCTMCCAGACCTTAACYCTAAACTCTGTATTGCTGAGAGASCTCTGCCATTGCTRCRAAGCTTTCTCAGACACTGTCTGGAAGAGCCTGTAGTGCTTTTTTGGGTTTGTTTTTGATGCAAATGTTTAATTTCAGATGTCCTGAACGACGCCATCTTCGATGAAGACCATGATGAGATGGTAATTGTGAAGGACATAGACATGTTCTCATTGTGTGAGCATCACCTCGTTCCATTTGTTGGAAAGGTAACTCTCCCTCGAAGAACAAATGTGGGAACGAACAATGAAAGACCTTAAGTACCTTTAAAAGACTTTGCAGCTGTAGCTACAGAGCTTTTAAAGCACTGAGTACTTGCTGCTTAGGGCTACAGGGTTCTGGAAGTTTAATCTTCAGAATACAAATAAGGAGGACCTCCTTAATGKGAGCTTTTATTTGAATTTAAGCTCCTGAAATGTAATGCTCAACCTTTCCTACTCCAAGCAACATAATGRTTTCTGACATTTCATATCAAAGCTCTTCTTCATGAAGCAGCAGCGAGCCTCGAGGGCAGACATCTCGATATTCAACCAGCTCGCCCTGCACGCTGGCTCTGTCATGGATTTACCTCTTGGCTCAGAGATATCCAGGGCATATTCAACTCTGAAACCCCCTGTGAGTGGAACAAACTCATTAGCAGCCCTGCCTTAATTATGTGAGCTGGTTCAGGGAGAGGGTGGCCCAAACTGGCTGTGCTTAATCGGGGGCTCCGTGAAAAGGGCTGGGGTTGGAGGGGGCTGGAATTGTAATGCCAACAGCTTCAAAGGGAAGATAAAGCCTCTCCAGTTAACCACTGTGGAGGTGATGAAGGGTTCTGAGCSGGAGCTGCACACCTCAGTTTCTTCCCTCCCTTATCAGCACAAAAGGATGGAGCTCAGCCTGATCCATCTGCTACCATGAAGTGCTCAGAGGCCCAAGAGCAACCCGTGTTTGTGCTGTCAGTAAAATTCAATCAGTGCCACTCATGTTCCAAGCAAATTGTCTCCCAAAAATAAAACACATGAGCAGAAAAAAGCTSTTTGTTTAGTTGGGTCCACTCAGTTTTGTCTGCTTTCTTTCCTTGCTGTTAGTGTTTTAGACTGAAGAACAGGATAAACTCCTTTTCTGTGCAAGCTTTCTGTTGTGCCCATTACCCCTGGTGGTGTTTGCGTGTGTATTCTCCCCGTTACTCCTGTGGCAATGTGTGCAATTTTTTAATATCCAGCTGTTTAGCTCATGTGGTTTGGAGAAATCTCCTCACAAACACTGACTCAGTCTTTGGTGTGGCTCTAAATATTCAAGGTAACCATTGCCCTGCTGGGTGCCCCAAACTCTGACCTGCAGGTCTTGCATTTGCAGTTGTGCCTGAAAGGAAATGAAGAAATTCCCCAAAAATACGGGGAAGAGGWTTCAACACTTATTTCTAAGCCGTGTCTCTCTTTGTCTGAAATGTTTCGTGTCTTTTCAGGTGTCAGTGGGTTGATTGCCCAACAGAAGGGGTAGGAATGAGCGAGTTAGCCAGGTAATCAGGTGCTCTGTGGTGCCTCTACTGCAGGTACAGCAGCACAGGATTCTGAGACGGGGCCTCCAGGCAAAGCCAGAATCCCCCACTGACACTCCCCTGCTGGATCTTGGCTGATTTTTCAAGTCTCTGGTACAGTGGCACAAATTCTGGRTTATAATGTTATATATCTGTTATAATCTGTGACAATCTGTTACAGCTGTAAACCTGCTGGAATTCAACAGCCCGCATGGCTTTCTAAAAACAGGGAGCTAAATGTCCTTCCCTTAATAGCTGAGCTCTTTTCTACCAAACTTCTTCCAATTTAGTGCAACTGCATGTTCAGCAAATCCGTATTGGAGATGGGAGCTGCGTTAATCATCAATGGTCTGTGGTAATAAAACAAGGAAAAAAAAAATCAGACCAGGAAATGCAGCCTGATTTTTGGTGGCAAAGTACTTCTCGCCATCAGAACATTTCCTGGAAGCAAAGCACAGTCCCTCTTCCTTCTGCTCCCTAAATCCATTTAAGGCCTTGGAAGAAAAGGGTGTTTATTTTAGACAAATAGGGCTGTGCTGAGTAACAGGCTGCCTTTGTACCCAAATGGAGCAGAGTTCTGCAGCATTCCCGAGACTTGGAGCATGARCCTTGACCCTTGAAGAGCTGTGATTTTTCTGCTCCTTCAGAAAACTCACCCAATTCTTCACCAGGACCTCAGYAGGCATTCACAGCTCCACAATTCCCCAGGCTTGCATGGTGCCACGTTCCTCCCTCATGCTGAGACTCCTGGGCTGTCCCAGAGCTGTTCTGGGGCAGGTTCACATCTCATTGTCTGTGCATGAGTTTTTGGAGCCCTTGGGAGGGTGGTTCTGCTGCTGTTGATGGTTGTTCTCCCCTGTCCAGGTGCACATCGGGTATCTCCCCAACAAACAAGTGCTCGGCCTCAGCAAGCTGGCAAGGTAAGTGTGCTAATGAAAGTGATGCTAATTTGTAAAAAGGATTCCAGGCTCTGCTCACTGTGCTAATCTCTTTAATCTTCTCTCCCTCCAAAGCTCAGCCTGCTTTGTG